AATATTAAAAATTGAACCATTTATTATTATATGATATAGTATCATCGAAATCATTGTCTACTCGTTCCTATCAACCTGTAACTATTCCTGTTTCTACTACTATTGCAAATATCAAGTGTTATAATTATTATTATAGTCACTACTCTTATTATTATTATTATTGTTGGTATTATTATTACCGATACCGACCTTGTTATTATTACTTTCATTATTGTTTCCGTTAGAATTCTTCTTTATTATGATATATTCTGGCGGAGGTGGTGTAGAGGCAAGTGGTGCACTATCACAAACGCACTGTCACTGGTTAAAATCCCTCATTGATATCCCCAGGCCAAGCGAGCTCCCATTCCTCCGGGGTCCTTCTATAGGCACTAGACTCGTTTAGGAGGATAAAAGCATTGACTTGTACATGGGCTGGCCACATTCAAACACCACTACGATTCTGTATGAAAGTCTAATGCGGGGCGCATCCCTCAGACGCGATTTAGCGCCCAAAGCCTTCATTCTTTGGACTTCTTTTGTTCATGATATACTCAATGCTCTGCAAAACTTCTCGAAACCCATCCAGCTTAACTATATCTTACCGTTAACTAATATCATCAATTCATATCCAGTTCTATCAAGCTCTTTACCATTTATTGCCATGAATCAGGAAGTCCTGGAAGAAAAGAAAAGCTCATAAGGATGGGGCTACACGGTCACTAGGAAAAATGAACCGGAAAAGGCAGCTGACCAGAAAGCTTAACTATATCTTACCGTTAACTAATATCGTCAGTTCATATCCAGTTCTATCATGCTCTTTACCATTTATCGCCATGAATCAGGAAGTCCTGGAAGAAAAGAAAAGCTCATAAGGATGGGGCTACACGGTCACTAGGAAAAATGAACCGGAAAAGGCAGCTGACCAGAAAAGAGCGTCATTGTTTGGTTTGCTCGTTCATCTGCCTTCTCCACAACCCTATACATCAAAGCACGGAGCCTTCGGAAAGCCGGCTACCGGTCGGGGATTTGGTTTTTCTGCAGTTGTCATTCCATGATTAATTTGATTGTACGGTTTTCAGTGGAACAAGCTTTTAGCCAATCAGCTAGCCTTTCAAATTTGCGCAATAAAAAAGGGGACTGGAAACGATATGTTCGTATTGGCCTCCATGAACATGTTCAGGGAACATCGCTATGGGAAAATAAGGGGAGCGTTCTGAATGACACTGCTACGTTACTTTTACATTTTTGAAAATAGAAATGTATTGTACGTCAAAAAACAAATATCAAAAAATTACAATTAGAAATCACAGAAATCTAAATAAAAATTAATTTAATAAGAAATTAATAGCAGTTGAAATTTAGGACCCACGATATCTGAGTTCGCACATTCCTCCTTCACCTATGCACGTCATCAATACGTCACCGAGGACGTCCTTAAAACCGATCCGAATAACGAGACCACGGGTATTCTTAGCTTTAATATTTAAACTAGTTCACAGAGCTGTTTACTCATTTGCTGATGTTTCTCCTTGCTTTAATTTGTAACAATCAGCTAGCTTTGAACAGGCTTACTGTATCTTTTTATCCCTTCTAGTGCCACTTTGTAAGACCCAACAAAGGAAGGTTCCGCGGAAGTTTCTCCAGTTGCAGCCCAACGTTGCCTTATTCTCTCATGAAATTTTGCATCCCTTTTTTCCACTTTTTTAGGATCTGAGGAAGCTCTTGCCCTCTTGAACCCAAATTTCGAGGCTCTTTCCTAATTATTCTTCTCGCTATCATTAATCCCGCAACGTTGCAGGTTTACTGTTCTTGTGAGCTGCCTGTACTCCTTCCATTTACGGTACCTTCCGCCATCGCTTTAGCTCCATCGAAATCATTCTTGATCACATATCGCCACGTCCTCGTCAGAGTTCCCGTAGTCGCTTCCCCTGAGCCTCGAATTCCACTGCCTCCCTTATCCAATGATTCTGTGGCCTTCTCAACACGTGTCCGTAACATTGCAGACTGCTTCACATCTTTAGCTGAACAGGGCTCTATCCTGGCATTGCCCAATCATGTCCAACGGCTGGCTCAACTGAGCATACTCACTCGATCGGACTGGGGTTGTCTTTTATGATTTAAATGCCTCCACCATTACCCGGTACATCTTTCCGTCAACCGTTCTAGAACAGAGGATACCAGTGAACTTCCTTCATTTCATCCATGTCGCTAATATTCGAGCTTCCACGGCCTCGTCTACCTCACTGGCAACGGATGAGTCACTTCATCGATATTGGAAGTCCAGTACCCTTCCTATTTCTTTTCTGAAAAATGTCAACGATCGCCTCTTGCTGCTGAGTAGCCGGGAAAACTGACCTTCTTCACGTTCGGCCCAAGCTCATTCTCCACCAGCTCTTTTGACTACATATTTCTGCAGCTTATCGTGGTTTTCCTCTCTGCTTCCTGCTAAAGGACCTGTATTCGTAATCAGTATATTTACGTGCACAAGTTGGTGTGATATCCCTTTCGTGGATACCCATCTCACCATTTACCCATTACTTATCGTTTCCTTTCTTTTGGGTAACCAAAAAAAGCAGATATCTCGGATATATGTATTATCTAATTTTAAGCAGGAAACGCTCACCGGAAAAGATTTCTTGAAATAACGAACCTTCTTTTTTTGCAGCCTTCTCCTGTCATCGTCACAAAACGTCCAACTGGATTTGTAGTTGCGAAAACGACTTCTGGCTCGAAAGCTATCGTTAGATTTTCTTCTAAAATGGGTATTTTTCAAGAACGTCATAGCAATTTACTATTCAATACGCTTTCAGGAAACTTCTGTATCGACCCGTAAAGAAGGCATCACTTCAAGAGCTACGGAGCCGGTTACAACGGCAACTGTGAGTGTTCTACTTTCAGAAGAAAGTTTTCCATAGTTCATTCGGTTGGAGCGTGGGCTTGAGGAGGAGAGAGGCTCGCATTTAACCTGCATCGACACCGAGTATCGTTGTTGCACTCCAGTGGAAATTCTCACTTTTTATTTCAACTATTAATAGAATTTTTATTTAGAGTGATGACACTTTGAATACAGCTCAAATTCACCTTGTTGAGTTTGACCTCAACGTTTAAAAGCTCGGGACATTCAAGCTTCATCACTTGGCTTTGCTCTTTCGCCCTGCTGATCCCATCCTGAAATCTTGCAGTCAAAGCTGAAACAGGGTTTGGGACTTTGAAACACGTTTTTAAATAGAGAAGTTCTTTTCGGAAAAAAGTTAAATGGAATCATTTAGGTTCGAACTGTTCATCAGAGAATTTAAGTAAAAAATATTGGAATCCGAGCAGTAGACCAAAGCATTTATTGCAGGATCTGTGGGGAGTTTTGGAAAAGAGCTTTTTCAAATCAAGAGAGAGGGTAGAGGCGGTAGGCGAGTTCGGAAAACTGGAGCCTTCAAAACATGGAAATGTAAGTGAAAGAGAGAGAGGGATACAGACAGACAGACAGACAGACAGACAGACAGACAGACAGACAGACAGACAGACAGACAGACAAACAGTTAGACAGAGACAGAGATCTTTTTCAAGGTGCAACATCGCTTTTCTTCTAAAGATGATCACCAAGTGGTAAATTGAAGCTGTCAGCCAAAAAAAGTGAGAAATTTGCTCGGAGGTTGCTTCAATCCCGCTAAAGTTCCGTGCTTCACTGGATCGATGTCCGTTTGGTTCAGTCAAATTCTAGTCTCGACCGTAACGAGTGTGATATGTTTTTTGCAGCTTGTGCCAATCCGTACAACTACTCAACAAACTGTTGTGGAGACGGAATATTTGGATTATGAAGAAGACGCCCAAAAACCGGTACTGCTAATTTATATTTCATTTAAAAGCTGTGAAAATGCTTCCAACATCATGCCGGTAGTTGACTAAATTCATTCTAATTATTAGGGTTCAAGGGCTTGATGGATCAGAGAATTTCTCCCACTCGGGAGAAAGACTTGGGAAAAAAAACTTCTTCTGTAAATTTCAAGACGTTGGATGAGCTATCTAAGCTCGGTTCACATATTAAGAGCTACCGATAGTGCTTCCGTTCAGGACCTTCGGCTGCTTTTCAAGATTTAGACCGATTTTGCGACTGTGTTTTGGAAGTTCAGCCATTCTAAACATTGATTTATTAAAATTTATTTCATTTCTCAAGACCGGAGGACAGCTCGTAGACGAAGTGATCGAATTACAAACAAATGTACCTGAAGCGACGACTATGGCTTTAATTGAAGAGGCTGACGATTACAATGATTACGAAGCTATAGAAGGGCATGTAACAACCAAGTCCTTGTCTACGACTACTCGTCCACGACCATCCCTTGACTTCAACCAGGTAAACCGGAGAATTTTCCCATTCGCCGGGTTTACGAAGATTAGTTTTTAGCGAAATAAAAGTGAAATTTTCACAGATTTCTCAACAGAATATGTTGAAATCAATTCATTATTAATGAAAAGGCAAAGCGAGTACTCTTTTGAACACCTTCTGAGAATGAATTCTGAATCGTTTCTGTGATAGTCCACTGAGACCAGGTTTAATTGCAACTGTTTGAAGCCAACAAGAAATTAGTCTAACGCAAACATCACGTTCCATAGAAAAGGATCATCCTAAAACCTTTGCATTCCGAACCTGCTTTGGAACTGGGAATGGAATTTCAAAGTCTCCCAGATAATAATATCCCTACTAGAAATGCGGTGGCCAGCCGATGTATAAGCTGTTGCTCTCGTCCTCCCAGACGAATTTGCTACCCAACTAACCGACTCCGAAGGAATGAAGGGCTTCATTAACCTGGACGGGTACCAATCCCGGAATTCGAAGACCATGCGTGTGGGATAGTGCGCCCCTTCCCATCATACCACTTCATTCCTCGGGAAACCAGCATATGTGTACATATAAATCACTCGATGTTACGCAGGTAGCCAAAATCTCTGAGACTCCATTTAAAAAATAATACAGAACTGATTCTTATTAACTAAGTGACGCTCAGGAAAGGAAATTTATTCAATTCAAGGTAACAGCAGAAGCAGCCATGGCCATGACTCAGACCACAGGAGAAGGATCAACATCTGTAGTAACACTTACGTATGAACCAGTCACTGTTCCTACACCTACGGAGAACCTTGTAACCGTGAGTGAACTAGCTTCAGCTGTCCTCAGGAAAACCTTCACAATATTATGACCTTGGCTGATTTCNTAAGTGATGCTCAGGAAAGGAAATTTATTCAATTCAAGGTAACAGCAGAAGCAGCCATGGCCATGACTCAGACCACAGGAGAAGGATCAACATCTGTAGTAACACTTACGTATGAACCAGTCACTGTTCCTACACCTACGGAGAACCTTGTAACCGTAAGTGAACTAGCCATTTGTCATCAACTGTCCGCAGAACAACTTCCACAAAATTGTGACCTTGGCTGATTTCTGATGGTGGACATCAGGTGCCTGTTGTCGCTGTAACTCTGGAATGGGGTCGCGCTTGCTCTCAAAACAGCGATTAACAAAGCGCCGAGCTCGGGGGTACAAAAATGTTGGTCCCGTAGCGATTACCGGTAGTAGGTCCTTAAGTGCGTACACAAAGGGTAAACAAGGGGATCAGTTGACATTCAATTGGCTGTTACTGGAGCTTTGATTTCGTAGGGGAGAGGGGTGAATAATTCGAAGCTTACTCAAAACCTATTTCTTCTTCCAAAGCAGTGCTGAGAGTCATCTATGCAGGATAGATAGGCCCTGGTCTCCCTCGCCCACATATCTTGGCACAGGACTTGGGCAGTGCCTGTGGGGGGCGGGGGAAGGATACGTGGGGTGAGGAGTGAAGATCAAACCGTTGCGTTTTGATTTGAGCCTAGTTTTACTTTGAACCCGACGCATCATTACTTCGCTCGTTATAACCAATGTTACACTTTCCCTGTTTGTTATTGAAGCTTTTCGATGATTCTGTTTGTTTTCTAGCAATTCTTATGCATTATTTTAGACTACCTTCGGATTTACTGGTTCTACAACCGAAGTTGTGGAGGTTGCCGAAGTTGTGGAGGTTGCCGAAGTTACAACGACAACTGTCAGTACCTAATATTAATGTTTTTTTTCTAAAATAAGCAAACACTTGAAAGGGAAAGTGCTCGCTGGTCGCACAAGAGTTCGAAGCGAAAGCATGGCTACAGAAAAGATTCCAGCTGAACTTACTGTATCGTATATCTATCATGGGAACTGTTTTGAGCTCAGTTGCGTCTAGAGAACTGATGGATATCCAACATATTCCCTCCCTCGTTCGCAGTTAGGCTTGAAAATCCTGCAGAACACGCCATTATCCCTGTTGGGGAAGCCACTTGTAACTCATGAAAGGTTTCTTGAGAAAATAGCCATTCTCGAAAACGGGGATAGACCAATTGGCTTTGGAAAGGTCAGGTTTTTATGGAACAAAGCAAGTGTATGTAAAGGCACAGTGTAAAGGCTTCTGAGATCACTCCCTAGGATGAACATGTGACCCCCAAGGATAGCACATGGGACACTGTGGGGTCGAAAAACTGCTCATATAAGGCAAAACAAGGGTCCCAAAACTAGTTCAGCTGACATACACATCTTGAGGGGACGAGGTTTTACGACATTATAGAGGCTGTGGAGGTGGCATAATTTGCACCGGGACACACACGTTCCACGCAGGTAGGTGGCTGTCCGCAGTTGCACACACTTTTGGACAGCTCGTCCAAATATTCATCTCATGCAACTTTTGTCGTCACATTCTCGTCCAAACCGTGACTTTACTGATTTTTTCGCGTTACTCTGGACTATCACTTCCAATATTCGTCCGATGGTAGATACCCAAATATTAATGCGAACTGTTCCTTCAAGAAGACGAGGGCAAGCAGGGTCTCGGTAGGTTAGGGCACAACCGTTGCCCATTGCTCGAGACGCCCAAGTGCGGGTTCGAATCCCGCTCGAGGCCAGAGTTTTGTCCCTAACACGCCAACCTTGTGAGATAGTTGGATATACGAAATAACAGCATTTAACAAAACATCATATGAACATGGAGCAACTATGGTTACCTCATCTCTTTAACAATCAACCTTCATTCAGGTGGAGCCATCTACCACATCTACCACTACGCAGAAACCAGATGTAACCATAATTGAGGTAGAGCAAGTCCTTGTGGATGCTACGGAGGTATGAAATATGTACAGTTTTTTCGTTAGAGCAGTATTTTATTATCTGTTTGTACAGTACCCTCATTTCAATACCTTGAATGTACATAGACCAAGAGTACAGTTATATTTATTTCAATTAATCACGGTTCGGCTGGTTGGAAGGGATGAAAAACGTCATGGGCGAAGCGGAATAGTGAACTCAAACAAAGTAGTCAGGCAAAGAAAAGAGAACAGTTTATAAGAATCTCTCAAAATTCCGATATGATTTTAATTTTTGAACAATGTCGATGGAAAAAGTTATAGGAAATTTCTAGGGAGTACTGAAACTCTGTGGTAAGAATACGATTCAATCGAAATGGCCTTTTGAAGTACCAAAAGGTTAGTACTCGTTTTTCAGGAACCAGTAGAGACAATAGAGACAGTGGAGAGTGAGCAATCACGAACAATATCCAAAGGTGATGACTATGAAACCATCAGCGAGATAGAGGTGGGACTATTGTCGTTTTGGTGTACGGACCATTCAAATCTTGGGTAAAACTCTTGAAGGATAAAGTCACCGGGGGTCCTTCGATCCCGTTTAGGAATGCGCCTCGCATTTGGTTTATATTTTAAAATTGCAACGCCATTTGGATCGTTGTGGTCTATACATTGATTTGCAGTGGTCAGCAGATTTCGAGTCAGTGTTTTTATCCTCCCAGATGAGTTTAGTACCAATTAACTTACCCCGGAAGGAAGGCTTGAGTAGCCTGGGCAAGTATCGATCCGAAATTCAAATCCTGTACCATGTAAATATGATAGTGCCCAAAAAGGGATTCGGCCCGACGTATAGACTTTCCCTTTTCAACACCGAGTGTATCAAAGAGATCTTTCCTCTGGTAGGACGTCAACTACCGTGTAGAGTGTGCTTTTAAGTGATCTATTCCGTATTTGCAAATGCTTTTCTACCGACCACTTTGATTAAAATTTCGTTTAGCCTGACCAAAGTTCACTTCAAATACTTCCTGTCGCCGCTGAATCGTTTACGATGCCACCGACGGATCCTCCGACGACGACTACGACTACGACCACTACCACAACTGCGATAAGTCGTAATGAAACCGTCCTAATTGAAATAGATCAAGCTGTGGCACCATTCGATTACGGGCAAGACTACCATGACCCGGTGAGCTACTTGACTGATTTCATTCTTAAGACGCCGAGGCTTCTGAAAGTTTTGGGTAATCTTTTGCCATCACTTTCTGCTGTGCAGCTTACATGGAGTTTCACACCCACTTACATTGCAATTTTCCTCTAGAACGTACTCCTGAACGATAGGAGCAGAGTGATGCGGTCGATTTCAGAAGGCCTCGCTGAAAGCTTACCACGGAGACCTCCTTCAAAAAGGAAACACGAAGGATATACAGATCTTCCTCAACTTTCCGGTCGTCCAGTTTTAACCCTTGGTCAGATAGAGCTGGAAGGCGCCACTTCTATGGTTCCGGGGGATGAGACATGACTACGAAGGCTGCGAAGTACAAGAAATAACCAAAGCGAAGTGTCATGCTGATACAATCAGGAAGATTTCAACGCTCAGGGCGACTGTTAGAAGGTTTATACACCGTTCCGGGTATAGGTAGTCCTTACTGTATGTACCTACGATACCAAAAATCGGATCATACTCTCCCCAGTTGATCAGCTGGCCCCATTTGGTCAGTTAGTTAGTGTTCTGCCTATGATTAGAGCTCTTCGGCTATCACTTCTTCATATGCAATGCTGGATATCTCCTTTAAAATGCCCTCTGTGAACACCAACACATAAGCCTCCTGTGGATCAAACCTTGTTGAAAGGGAGGAGCCACGCCAGCTATGGAAAGATCCGCTTGGGAGATGCAGCTGGAAGTGGAGACAGGCCAGTCACTCAAAATGCGGAACCATTTCTTGCAAAGTCCACTTTCAAGTGATAACACACCGTGGAATAATTAATGATGTTTTTGCCCAGCAAAAAGTCTCAATGTTTGCGCAAGCTAATCTGAACGAAGGACGATTCGAGTTTTTTTCCGATTTTTTTAATTCTTTGCAGGAATATAAGAAAAATATTAGTTTTATTTGGAATCATCACTCAGAAAAACCCATGCTGGTTGAATTCAGAGCACTCCGAAACGTGGAGAGAGAGTACCCGTGAAGCGTCGAGAGTAGTAGACTGTCACGACATTTCAAAAAACAAAAACTTTCAAAAAACGTCCTGTGTCATTGAATTTTTTGCAGTTGTATTTTTTATGTAACTATTTTCCATTCTGTTGAGTAAGCTCCTAGATTTTAGGCTGTGCTCAAACCTGAAACGAAGATCGAGGTAGTAAAGGAGACAACTACAGAAGCTTCTAATTATATGAAGGTAAAGAATGGTAAAAAAAGGAAAAGAAGGTTCTCTGGCTTAGATCGGTCCTTTCTTTGGAATACGCCCTCACATTCGACTTCCCTTCAGATACTAGTGACGTTTCGAATGCGTATTCACCCTACACCATGACTTGCGATGGCTAGTACAAGTCAGCGCTGAGTCTGATACCAAATAAAGTGACCCGGAAGTGTTGAAGGCTTGGCTTGGGCCGGTTTCGATCCGGGTCACAATCCAGGGAGCTACCACACCTTCAAAACTTTATGGTACGTAGGCCAGCTTATCGGGAATGGCGCTGGGTTTTGAACCACCAGCCTCCTTTTCTTGGATTTCCCATCCTTGATCAATCAATCCTTGAATGGCTCCCGATGCTCCATTCAAGCTGATTTCCATTCCAGAGAACATAGTCCTTCATTGCTCCTGCTTGGATTTGGCTTCTCCTAATAGCTGTCTAATGAGCTGTCCTTTTCTTCTTGTCCTTTTCTTGAGCCATTGGATCAAGTGGGAAACTTCACTTCTTCTTCAACCCTTCTTCTTCAGGGTCTACCACTGTCGGCTCAGGAAGCAGCAATCGAGTTTATCAACGAAGTTCAACGAAATTATAAAGTGCTATAGTGGACAATGTAGTTGATAGAGAAGAATTTATTTCTGTGCCTGTACATGTGTGGCATAGTTATATACATAAATAAGTAAGTGCTCATAAAATTTTCAGTAAAATTTAATTTATTTAATAGGCAATCATAACAATAACCTCGGCTTTTTCATCTAAATATTTTTTTTGACGGCGTTGTTTCATCCCCATCCATGAACCCATCCGTGTAATGTGTGTATTTCTGATTGACTCGCGCTTATGATTTCTTTCACGAGAGCTCCTTTGAAAGACATTTTCACACGTCTGAAAGCGGATAAGCCATGAACATTGTAACTTTTACTGGGTTTCTCCTTCGTTACTGTATATGCTGAAGTTATTCTCCCATCTTCTGTGTAGCTTTTGAGGTAACTCAAGGACTTGGTAGGAACCTGGTCTCTTGCAGCGACACAAAAGGCTTGCGCTGTCAAGTTTACTAGTTCCATTGCGAAGGGTTTCCTTCCAGCTTGCGCCATGAACTATGCCAAAGGTGGAAACGCAATAGGGATTGAAATGGATTTTTTAACGAGTGGTTATGCGGGTCAGTTACCAGATCCAGGGAGACCGAGGAAAGCCCAGTGCTAAATGCATGACGCGAAAAGTCCCGATTGTATGGGTAAGACCAACCCAGAGAGGTAAACGAGAAGGATTTTAAGCCATTCAACCAGCTAACCGTGTAAATCTAAACGAAAATACCCTACGGAGCGGGACCTTGACTAGATTGAAGAGAGCAGTGGAAAGTGTTTTCATCGAATCATTTTTCTGATGCGTTTTATTTCTCATGACAGATCCCTTGACGATCGGTTCCGTTGCGTTTCATTGCGTAAATCACGGTCACGGTGATGCAAGCAAGCGACATTGACGACAGCGGCCGCTGTCTACAACTAGCCAAATCGGGTTTTGGGTAAATCTTGAAGAGATAAAAGACGGCCAGCGATAGCTGTGTGACGACAGGTAGCCCTCGTTGTGGAGCAGAAAAGCCGGCTCCCTTCGATGCCGGTCGAAAGTTGGCCCGTATGAATCGGCTGGTCTCAAATCCTCACGGGAAAGGGAGAGTTCGACACCTATCTGATCGTCGGTGGAATTGGCAGACACTAGTTCTTGCAAATAGCAAAAATCAGGATCATTAGTGGAAATTTAGGAAGGAGGGCTTGTGGAAACATATGGAACAACAGGAAATACTGAATGCTATGTTCCCTCAGAGCGACTTCGCCTTATCCCCAGACTAGAGCAGGTTTCTCATTGATGGAACAAACGTGAAAATCGAAATTATTTAGCGTTAGTTCGTCGATGCTATCCGCTTTCCGTAAGCTCTTCTGATAGCATATTTATACGTCAATTTCACAAATTTTATCGACCAACCATTCACCCCTCCGGTACCTCCAGGCCCCGGGTCTACAGCACCTTTCCTGCTCTGAAGAGTTTTAAACGTTTTTATAGTAAAAACTCTATCAATGCTTACTGCAGTTTGAGAGGGCTATTTCGGCAGTGTGACATTAGGTCTTATCCAAAATTAATAAAAGAAAACCCGAAAGCTGGTACATGAAACACCAGCCGATAAATGGGAGAACTTAGCATCCAATAGCTATCGCAATTTTGATCAAAACCGAATTACATGGCGTATCGCAGTGTTAGCAGCTAATATGTGCAAGTTTTGGCCAACTACATTGATTTATTGACTAATGACCATTTTAGCAGATGGCATCTGATTAGAATCTCATGCCAGCTTTGCTATCCATCACCAGAAAGCATGAACCATAAGCTGAATCAGTTTTGGATTGGGCGTACCTGTGAACTCAGTGGGAGTTCACGTTTTTCTGAACCATCAACTCCAGAGCTGCCAACAGTTGAAGAGTGATGGTGAGGAAAACTAGCAGCACGTGATGGTCCTGAAAAGATTTCGTCTCTCTCTGGAATTACTCCTACAGTAGGGTTGAGGCGACGAGCTTGAACAAAGGTCCGAGTTTGGGCTTATTCTCTTTTACACAGGGAGGATAGCAAAGATTTTCCTCTAATAGGGAAAAGTTAATGCTCCACTAGGGTAATTATGCTCGATAAGCCTTCCTGCTCTTTCAGCGATACCTCCCAACTAAATCGCCAGTGAAGCAAGAGCCGAACTAACTTCGCTAACCTGTAGGAATTTAATAGGATATAAACTATGAAACCGTCTTCAATATGCAGCCCAATCGGGTTTTCTGTTTGAAGACAATCGGCATGGAAAGCCATGGAGCTAACGAAAGTTTTACTTATGTGAGAAAAAGGCTGGTAAGCTCATGGGACGAATTAGCCTTGAGTTGGAGACAACTATCCTCCACTCATGCTTTAATTCCCAGTTAGAAGGGCCGAGATACGCCGCGCCATTCGATTTACATTGAAATTGCAGTTGCTTTTGAATGCTAACCTGAAAAAATGATTCTTGTAGTCCTTTCAAATATCACTTGCTTCAAACAAAATGTTCGATGTTGGAAGGGACTTGAACCCGACTAGCTACTGACAATGAGAGGTATACTCACCCTACCGTGGCAGCTCCCCACTCAAATCTCCATAAGGCGAAATCAGTGATAGACTGAATAAAGCATTTAAAAATAGCCATGTTGCCTTGTTGAAAAAATTACTATAAAACTTCACGCAGCAAATTCTTACAAAATGGAGTTACGTGCTTTTCCTACTCCTCAGCAGCACCCACAAGGTACAGATAGCACTTTACAATGGCGCTACTGTAGAGTAACTGCAGAAAACACAAAAAACTCGGAGAAAACAGTACTGTACAGGGTATTACTTTAGTACTTAGCACTTCAATTTCTCCTCTTCAGGTAAGACTCAGGCTTGAACCAACCTTAACCTAGGCCAAAGCCCTCTAGATGAAAAGATTTTGTCGTGATTTCTCGTCGGAATCGTCCCGATTCTTCTCATCGTATTGTAGCGATTGTCGGCGGACTTTTGTCATGCTAAATGGAGCTCAACGCAAGAGGTTCCGGCTTTCTTCAACGTCATTCTTCGCTTTCCACGGAGAAACTTTTGTTTTCATGCCTTTGTTCGTCCAATGCACTCGCCGGTCACTCGGCCCCTCTGACCCATTCAAAGGCTACTTTGAGGAAAGCCTAGAACTCAACGAACCCACTGAAACCTTAGCACACCTCTACCGTCTTGCTTTTAGAAACAAGCACGTCGTTTTTGGGTAAAAGATAGATGGGATATAATAGGCCCTGTTCAAACCCAATCTCTTAAAATCCGCCTCGGAGTAGTAGAGTTTTGCCAATTTAGCTATTTAGGTATAGTTTTTGAGTCGGTGTTAGCTACAGCTACATCGACTTCGAAAAAATTTGACAGCTGGTTTCAATAGAGACAAGAAATACTGGGGTTTATGGGTGAAATGAGATTATGGAATGATTGTTTTTTATCCTAATCACACGATCCCAGGTGAAAATCATGACTTTAGATTCTTCAGAGATGGAACCCAAGTGGCTGGCTAGTGAAGGTAGAACAAAGAAATACATTTAAGTAGAAAATCAGAGAAAACCAAAATCTGAGAAAACAGTAACAGAAAAAATGCTGACAAAATGGAAAGAGTCAAGGAAAACCTCATAAAGAAAAAGTGCTCCAATTGGGTTCGGAAGTGTAGCACCAAAGTGAATTTAGAGCGAGGAAAGTTGACAGACGGCCATCAGGAGAAACATCACTCAACATCTTATATTTTCTTTTTGAAAACCAAGTACAGGATTTCATTTTAAATGGAGACCGCATACAGTTGATCGAGTAGGTATTATAAATTACAGTATTAATACTTAATTTTGACTTATTCTCTGAATTTATTCATTTTTTCTCAAACAAAAAAAAATCTCAGTACTTTTATTAGTGTTTTATTACTTTACAATACATAGGAACAAAAACGGCCAAATAGTTGTTTTTCGCAGGTATTATGAAGTTTCTCAAACTGGGGAGAAATGTGTCGAATTTATGAATCTATGACGGATACTGTGCAAAATGATGGTAAGCAATAAAAAAGGAAAGTTCGTGTCAGTTTAACCTGCCCCATCCATTCGTGGAGTTTGTAGGAAGACGTGATGTAACCAAAAATGAAGCCTTAAAACAGTTTATAGATCTATAGTGCATATCTACCTACGAAGGAAAGGTTATGAAGCGATGAGGGGCAGATTCACATACATAGGACGGGTTATGCTGGGGTCTGGGTGGAGTATTTGGGCCAGGGAGTATAGTACCGACTGAAAAGGCATTTTTTAAACCATTACAAAGTGGCAAGTCAGGAATAGTTTTCAAATACAATCAGAAAAATCAAGAAAAAAGCTATAATGACTTCGTGGGTTTCTACTAGAACGATTCTCCCTGACAATTTCCAAAATGTTGGGAAGATTTTTCCTGGTCACTGGGACGGATAATTATGGAGAGCCCTGTAAGTTTAAGCTGTATGTGCGTAGTGCCTGAAAGAATTTACTATAGAGCAATTATTCTGGTGAAAGATTAAGTTTCCGCTCTAGAAGGAAGGCTTTCGCCTACCGTGAATACTCTACATGGCAGAACTTACTAGTTAGGCTGTCAAAAGGCAACATTACAGAACGAGAACTTGGTCTCGGCACGTGGTTGCTGGTTCTGTTGGTGTTGCAGTTCATCGTTAACTCGTTCCCAAAAAACAGGATGGTGACTCAACCAATACAAGACAATCCCTCTGACTCATTGGATGTACCAGCTGATGATAGCGAGAATTCTCTCAGTTGAGGCAGGTGCAGACCGGTTTCGGAATACTTCCTCTTCCAATGAACGAAAGAGGTGGCGAAGTGGCCAAAGCCTCCACAGAAGAATTTGATAGGATAGGATGACTTCCGCAGGTCTCTTTCTTCTGAGTGAAGCCGGTCATCTGCACTCATTAAAAAACTTGTACTCGGTTGATCCCTTTTCGCAAATATGTAGTCGTGCAGTAATGTAGTCTTCCCAATGCTTCAACGATTCAGAACGGATGGAAAGGGTTGGCGCATTCTGGAAAACCGTTTATTTACCACGTTTCTTAGCGAACTACTGGACTTTTCTCTCCCCACCCTTCCAATTATGTGTTTCTACAATTTGTAAGTTAGTGGATTTATTGTGTTAAAAAATCAAATAAGAGCTATATAGAATAGTAGAGAACAAAGGTAATTTTGGAAGGCTCGAATGAAACAGTTAAGCCAGGAATACCTACTAGATGTTTACAACCATTTACCCTACCTAGGAAGCCGAATGGTTTCTGACCTCAATGAACCCTGGCTTTCTCTATGGAATTCAGTTGGAAGTGAATTCAATGGAATAGTTTCAATGTGAAGAGCAGATCATTCAGGTTTCTGAAACTCAAAAGAGGTGCTTCCCGGCTGTCGTCACTTCGATAGCCGTAAAAAGAACTGAAACAGGATCAATTAAATCACAACATGCGTAGAACAAATAGTGGTTCCCAAAGCATCCAAGAACAGCACGTGCCCATGCTGTTCTGGGAAAGTGTAAAGATGACAAAAAAGGAACAAAAAACGAGAAATTAAATAGCTTCTTGATGAGTCAAGCTTTNAGACTATTCAGGTTTCTAAAACTCAAAAGAGGTGCTTCCCGGCTGCCGTCACTTCGATAGCCATAAAAAGAATTGAAACAAGATCAATTAAACCACAACATGCGTAGTCCAAATAGTGATTCCCAAGTCTCCAAGAACAGCACGTGCCCATGCGGTTCCGGGAAAGTGTAAATATGACAAAAAAGGAACAAAAAACGAGAAATTAAATAGCTTCTTGATGAGTCAAGCTTTCAATGTCAAAATTCTTTACAGCAGTGGGAAGTTTTTTTGCCCTTTACCGTGAGTTTCCGGGCCAGCAAGCTAGATACTATACAGAAACAACAGCCTTTCAATTACTACTACAGCGTATCAGTGCGTTTGACCGATGGATGACCGATCCAATCCCGACTGGCTAATGTTGTTCACTCAAAGAACCACATAATCATAATTGAAGGGTAATACTTACTGTAAGCACCGTTTTACAATTCAGTTATTATCCCTCGAATAGCTATATGTAGCCCCACAGTTGGAACTTTGTCCTATATACATATTCCGTGACAGCTATATCCCCCCCCCCCCCCCCCCTCCAGCTGGAACAACGGTCTATCCATCGTGTGTTGCATCCTTTCACGTCGACTAAGCTTTCAATCCATTCGGGAGCTGGTAGTTTCCAGTCAAACATGTCGACCGAGCTTTCATACAGATCTCCTACTACTTGACCGTTATATTCCCGTCTTCTAGCCCCCTCAAATATTCGCTCTCCACGCTGAGCATGGCAACAGCGTTACTTGGAAACCAGGCTCGAACAGCTTAGATATTTTCATCATGTCTATTTACTTTATTTACTTTTATTTGAAAATGAAAAAAGTAGATAGGCAAGAAGGAAAATGAATAGGAATATAATCAGCTGAGACTATAAGGATTTAAAAGATCACAAGGGATGAAACCGTAGCAGCTTATACAACAGGAGCTCATAAGATTCTTGGGCCCTTTCGGCGTGCCCAATTCTTTAAGTATGTCGACAAGTCCATTCCATGAAGTCGTTGTACACCTTCTAACTTCCCATTCAATTTCATTCTGCCCAACAGTTTCATGCCTGTGCAGTGCTGTGAGCAGGTAGGATCCACCGATTGTGCTGGCGTGCTTTTCTCGATGTCGAGTACTCTATAAATATTGTCCTTTTCATGTTTGGTTAGGATTCTTTAGGGCGGAGGTGGAGCAGTGGCAAATGGCGCACTTTCTCACACGCATGGTCACGGGTTCGAATTCTGGCTGCGTATCCACCAGGCCATCCAAGCCTTGCATCTATCCGGATTGGTTAAGTAGTACGAGGGTCCTCTGGTAAGGTAGGAAGCCCTGACTTGTACGTAGATCGGGTGCCCACCCCTACTCATTGCGTCGGCCATATACGCATTCAATACGTCACTACAATCCTGGATGGAAGTCGAATGTGTGGACAAATCCACCTGACAGGATTGATTAACACCTTAAGACTTTATCCTTTACATAGCCACTTCCGTTAGTACTGGGCCTTCTCGGTCCCCATCAAAGAGAATTTTTTGCAATGAAGCGGAACGGACTCGATAAAATCCGATCACACATTACGCGTCTTGAACATAGATCTCGTTTTTCATTTTCATTTGAAGTTTTCAGATCGTTCTGTACTTTTCGTTATTGTTTGTTTACACTTTCCATTAGTATATTGAGTTAAAAAAGTGAAGTACCCTCCAGAACCCGATTAGGTGTCCACCGCACGCAAAAACATTCACGCTCCTAAAATAACTTCTATTTGGAATTATGAATATCGTGTACTATTACAAGATACAGTACTTTTCAAGGATCAACTACCGTAACCGTTTATTTTTATTTTTTCAGTTCATTCAAAGTTGTTTTCAATCCGTATTTTATGGAGTTTTCGGTTATGTGGTCTTTTTTTCTATTCGTTCTTAATTATTTTCAATCTGAGGTTCTAAGCTATAACTTTTACCCTTTTTATTTTTCTGAGAGTTTTTTTCTGGGCCGAAACGCATCTCTATTATAGGTATTTGTTTATTTGTTTACTAATTTGTTCACCTATATAACTGACACGCTGTGCAAGCATGGCAAACGCTAAAGCTGACAAAAAACCGAATTGAAAAATGCTACAGATGAAGTATAAGCGAATATACAAATATAGAATGATTAGTTCAGACTACGACGGCGAACTTCTGCTGACGTTTCCAATAAGTAAACAAATAAACAACCTGACAAGTATATAAATGAGGAATTTATACTCCCAATTAGCAGGGTGTTATGGAACGGGGAGTTCGTCTTCAAGGTGAACCTGGATTACACTCCGTGGCCTCGTTCAGTATCCCGGCGTGACCCGCAGGGCTTAGCTGTCATGATCCGAGTTTGTCACTTATGCAAGTTCTCTCGTCATCTGCTAAGTATAGGAAAGCGTTATCTAATAGGCGATCAATCGTTATCCTTGTCTATATGTTTTGATTTCGATTTTCTTCGAACACCCCCCTTGCACCTCCTACGGCGGGCGCGCAACCGTTAGCTCTTCCTGGAGACCCCGCCCATCGACGGTATACATAAGCTTCGCGTAGGCATAGCTATTTCAGCATATCATTGCCATAGCTCTATGGTTACGGTTGGTTGCTTTTTCTTTACGATTTTACTTCCCTTTTCATCCGTTATGCCTATGTACTGGTGTGTGGGGGAGGAATGTTGATGATTTCGAGTTTTAGTTACTGATATTCTCGCTTTTGGCGGCCCCTGCATTAGGATGTATCGGTGGAGGTGGCTCCCAATGCTGCCCAGCCAGTCAACCATCCTGTACTTCTGCACCTGCTTGTACTCCATCGACAGGAAGTAGCAGGTGGGCCTTACAACTGGAAATTTGTTGTATTTTCTCTTTTTTCTAATCTTTTTGAATTACAATCAAAATAGTGCAAAGGCAGTCCTATGGGAGGAATTTATAACGGGCCTCTTGAAATATTCCATGTACAACCTTCTTCCTTACTCTCAGTCAACTGCTAGAGCTTCGCGATAATGGAACCATACAGGTAATAGGCCTTCCGTCTAGCTTCCTCTTCTTGTATTCGAATTTCGGTCGGACCCCGACAAACTCCGGCCACAGAATCGGTCCCTAACTGATCTTTTCTAAGTTATTATAGAAAACAGAGATTGAAATTTGGAACATGGGACAGCTCCCAAGTGTGGTTCCCGAATATGTGGGAGATGAGAGACCACAAAAGGAAACTGTGGTTAATTGAAGTGATTTTCTCTAATGGGAGGGCTCTTTATTGGCTACTACTGTGAAGGTGAGGGATTTATGCTAGGCAGAAAAAGAAGATGAGCCAGACGGAAGCGTTATTACCTATATGGTTCCATTATCGTGACAGGTTCGATGGAAAGCCTGTCATAATAGAGCAAAAAGCATATAGTAATGAATCACCTGAGCTATATGGGGATGAGAATGAACTGGCTTTTCGTCTTTACCTGCCAACATTAACCAAGGAAGATAGAGTAGGCACACAGTACACTACCCAGGGCGACCAATACTGCCTCGTCTCTAAAGCCACGGTCGTGGGTCCTGAGCATTACTGTAATGACCTGGTATTCTCAACTGAAATAGAGAGAGACGGTGAAACAATTAAAGAAATGAAAAATGTTAGAAACATGAAAGCGGTTCGGGACTTTTTTTGTGCCCCGGTGGGCTATATTGGGGTGCTGGCTTAGTTCGTGTTATTCAGTCTTGTTTGTTAGCTTGGCTTTCAAGTGCATCTGCTTCACAGGCTCTTCCTGCAGAAAAAGACTAATTTCTAAAAAATAGCAGATTACCGTAAGTCCATAACTTTACCATATTAATTCCATTATATGATATCCGACCATATTTCCTTTCGAAACTTTAAATCTTCTTTTTTTTCAAGAAGAAAGTGAGGGCTGGCTTCACCAGGAGAAGCTTTCCCGTGACTACCAACTTGGGCAAAACTATGATACCGAGGATATTTGCCAGTTATGGGCATAGATCTGAATCAATTTCGGCTCTAGATTCCCCAAAAACCGATAGTTTTAGCCAATAGCCACAGTGCAAAATACGCAAATGAGTCAATGCTGCCCCTTTTGTGTTCCCGTGAAAGTTTCTTAGTTATGACGGCTGATCTCAGCGGATCGTGAGCGGCTGTGATGAGCCCGGTTCTTGAGGTGCCACCCCCCACTAACCGTCGGCCGCGATCTCAGGCGATCCGATTTGCTATTCGGTGATTTCGGCTGTCATCCTGAAAAACTCGTCCGCTCGCTCTCCGCGAAACATACATACGTAATGAAACGTATACATACACGATAGGTAGCTAGCGCAAATCTAGCGCGATCGAGTCCGATATATGGCGCATTTATTACGCGCTTTGTTCGTGTGTTTTATCCTTAAGCACCTCCCAGGAAATCCCCAAAGCGAAGGAGTTGATAGTCCTAAACAGAACCCGAAGACTTCTAATCAAAGAATTTTCAGTTACGCCAGCTACGGTGGGAGCTATGGTTCATCTGGTGGAAGCTATGCTTCTTCTGGTGGAAGCTATGCTTCTTCTGGTGGGGGCTATGCTTCCTCTGGTGGAAGCTACCCACGTGCACCAGTAGGATACGCTGCTGCACCTCCACCACCTCCACCACCACCTCCACCACCACCTCCACCTCCTCCACCACCATCCTATGGTGGCGGTGGTGGTTCTTATGGTGGTGGCCCAAGCGGTGGATCCTACGGTGGTGCTCCTAGCGGCGGTGCTTCTTACGGAGGTGCACCCAGCGGTGGTTCCTACGGAGCTGGTGGCGGCGGTGGTTCCAGCGGAGGATATTCCGGAGTACAGCAAGGAGGAGGACAAGCTGGATATAATGGCCCGGTTAGTTAATTTTGTAAATTCCTACGACTCTCTGAAACTGCCGCAAGACGGACGGCGATGTCTCGGCAGCCACCCAACAACCGTATCAGTCTGTGGGTGGGTGGCTGCTCAGACCGTGGTCAGCACTAACGGTGAAATGCAATAACTAGTGATACTTCGCATTGTTCAGGCCCCAGTTGGTCCTACCCAAGGAGGAGGACAATACTTAGACACTGGAGCAACCGGTGGAACTGGGGAAGGTCAACAAGGTGGTAATTATGGACCAGCTGAAGTAGCGCCTGCGCCGGCAGCACCAGCACCAGAACAACTGCTCGAGCCTGCTCCAGCTGCTCCTGCTCCAGAAAGCCAAGTCGACGATGTCAGTGAGGTTCAACCCACGGAAGACCATAAGGTTAGCCATATTATTTCTATGATCTCGATTTCTATCTAATCATTCCTTACCCAGGCTGGTGGACCAGAATACCAAGGCCCAGCGCCAGTCCAAACAAATGAACCTGCTCCAGCGGAAGTAGCTCCCGAACAGCAACCCGTACCAAGTCCAACTATTGACGAACCAGCCCCTCAAGTTGAGCCCGTAGCACCAGCTCCAACCAACCCACCACCACCCGTAGTTAGTGGTACCGCTGCACCACAGCAGGCTTCTGAGTACGATGAACAAGAATACGATGAGGAAGAGCAGCCTGAAGAGAATACCGTAGAAGATACAAATGAGCCAATCATACCACAACCAGCAGAGACTCCTGCTCCATACAATCCACCAGCCGAGACGTCCGCTCCATACAATCCACCAGCTGAGACATCCGCTCCATACAATCCACCAGTTCAGACGCCCGCTCCATACAACCCGCCGGTACAGACGCCTGCTCCATATGAGCCATCAGCCCAGCCTCCTGCACCGTACGAGCCACCAGCACAGACACCAGCGCCGTATGAGCCACCAGCACAGACGCAAGCACCGTACGAGCCTCCAGTACGAACACCGGCCCCATACGTGCCACCAGCACAAACACCAGCTCCTCCAGAGGGATATGAAGAAGAGACTGGGGGAGAGGAAAACGGAGAAGAATACGAGGATGTTGTTACCAGTGCGGTAAGATAATTTTATCTAGACCTATCTAATCCACCGTACTACCTCTACGTTCATCGAATTTTTCAAACTCAATTTAATTTCAGCCCGACGGTGGACAAGAAGCGGAATACAAGAATAAGAGAAGGTCTTAAACGTGTCTCATAGGAACATTTTTACAATGATTCTCAATTCATCATGAGCGTTGTATGACTACCTGGTTGCTTGGTGGCGACATTGCGCGGTTTATACTAGTCGCGCGTATCGTTACGCTGCCATGCTATTCGCCGCATCTCAGTGACACGCACGTCGTCGTTTTTTGTTGTCTGTACACATTGTCTGCATTATTTGATCTTAATTTATGCGTTTAATTCTATAAATTTGACGAAAATATTGTTTTTGAGAAATGCCGTGTCGAAAATTATGTAAATATTTTCAAAGTTGCCCGGATGCTGCAATTTGGGAACAAAAGAAGCCTTGCTCATAGGCTTCTTCCTCCTTTTCTCTATGAAGAACTCTAATCACTGATTTAGTAGCCATATAATGAACAGACTGAGAGGAGTAGTTGCTTAGATCTAGCCTGTGTCCCTCAGAACTTTAGCTTTATACTTCTTCAAGCGAGTTGTATCGATCAACAGCAAACTGGCGAGTGGGAAGATTCGACTGTTATATAAAGGTATCGAGCTGAGGTACGTGACCGTGGCTATATGGTATCCAGCGATCCCAGACTATGGACCATATAAGACCGAGGGACCAAAAGACTCGCTTACATGCACACAGCAGGGCTCACTTGAAAAAGTAAAAATGTGTGACCGATTGTTCATTTGGTTCCCAAAACCGCCAAGTCTTTAACGATTTCAAACAACCGCTGAGTCGCTTCCCTCAATATGGTGAAGGAGGGATACGAAGGAGTTAAGGTGAAAGAGAGAAGGGGTATGAACTTGTGCCCGATCGGTTCTTTTGCCGCGGGTGCGCTTCGTTGCGCGTGTCCGTCGAAACTAGGTCACGCCGCAGCCGTCGCATGCGGCGGG